GGTTTTAAGAGAAAAAATATTCCTTGAAGCTTTAAGCAAGAATAGTATCACGCATTAAATCAAACAGTAGTTTGACTAAAGCTCTTGTGAAGCATGAAGTGGAGCATATGTCAGATATTTTTTAAAATGAGAGGAGTAACTTAAAGTTATAAACCAGAAATTATGTTTACTAGTAGTAAACTAAATGTTGTATACTATCAAGCTAAAATCGACGGGGACGCCTGTGGATTATAGTTTAGTGTATATTTGTTGAATAGAAATAAAATGAAAATCCTCCATTCTCATGAAGAGAACACCTCATGAAGATGGTTAAGCACCTCATGAAGAGGATCATCATAAAGATGAAATCCAACACACTAAGTGCGCGCATCACAGTGTTGGGTACGCAGAACAATAAATTATCTTTTGTTTGAAAAATAACAAAGAGATAGAATAATCTCACATGGTGAGGGTGTTAGGAGAAAATAATAGTTGTCGACAGCGCTATCTCTATAATTGCAAATGTTTCTCTTATGAGAACCCGGATTCGAAAAATAAAGTCCATGGCAAAGTCACCTGTAGTGATTATATCATGTCAATGAAGAAAGCAATTGAGGTTGAATCTCCTACTCAGAAGAAATAAATGTTCTGCTATATCTCTGGCAAATGAAATGAATGAATATGAAATATGCAGTGAATAAGTGGATTATGAAGATCCATATAGTTCTAGAAGAATATAAATCGCAACATATGGAAATTAAATCTTATATAACGTATTAAGAAGTCTAAGGTATAATATATTCCTGAATGAATATTGAAGTCTCAAGAAGAACATGTCATAGAAGGAATATTCATCGAATGACTTTGTAGTGAATAACACTATCTCATTATGTACATCACGTAATAATCTCTCATGTAGTAGAGAATATATTTCATAGAAGATAAATGTTATTCACTAAGAATGATAACATCCTTGAAGGATTTAATCCATAAAAGATTTACTAGTCGATTCTTGAAAAGCATCATTAATTCCTGAAGTGAATGTAGACCCGAGAAAAAGAAAATGAGGAATCCTATATACCATGAAGGTGTCATACAAACACTCAGAAAGTGCATATTGAAAGGCTAGCAATGAAGTGATGATATCCTCTAAATACCATAGAAGGTATGGGAATATTGGTGATTTTAGTAATTGAATTATCCCCTAAATACCAAATGCAAGACTGAATTTATTATTTAGTGGTACAATCTAAATCCTGAAGATTCGTAGAACATATAATATGAAAATCCACTAAGCAAGAATTATAACTATTCAAACTCTAGTATGAGATTTGATGCACTATCTAGAAGATATTGAATATTATAACTTATTTACTCCCATAATCCTCTGAAAGGATTTATTACCCTGAAGGATAAATTTTATTTGTTTTGCGTAACTAATAAGTGGTTATTTATACATGAAGCATATTGCTCTTGTTTACTCATATTATAATTCATTGAAGAATGACAAGTCAATATTTTTGAAAGATATAGTATTATGATACTGCATACCATTATTAAGCACACATTTATGAAAAGTGTAGACTGAACAATGCAGTTTAAAGAATGGCTTTATGAGGGGGAGCAATTTGAGTAAATCTACCTTGAAGGTAATTAAAACCACTAGAATTACAAAGATCAAGTAGATCATATTATATTTTCTAAAACATTAAAGTTTATGCATAGATCATGAAGATAAATATCTATTCATGAAGAATTGAATATTCTGAAGAATACATGACCAAGAAGGTTAAATGTTGTACTCTTTTTTCTTATGTGAGTTTTTACTTGAAGATTTCTCATGCAAAGTTTTTAATGAGACAACATGTGCAATGCAATTAACGAATGCGATGTACTCTTTTCTCCAAGAACTATTTTTCCCATTGGGTTTTTGGATGGAGTTTTTAATGAGGCATATGCATATCGTGGTAATCGTCTAAGGAGGAGTGTTGTAAAACATACTGTCGGTGTTTCGTATAAGCACCAGCAAGTAAATTTATGGTAATGCGCGTTAGGCTCGGATGGTGCGCTAAAGGACACAGGATTTATACTGGTTCGGGCGAAACGTCCCTACGTCCAGTTTGTTGCTGCTTGTGTTATTAGCACCGTAACGATCTGTAGTAAGGGATACAAACTGCCGAGAGAGGGACTGGTCCCAAGTCTTTGATCGAAGGATTGAAAGGTGGTCAAGAGCTTCGTAGCTGCTTGAATGCGTGTGAGTGCGTTCTATTGTTCGGTCCTCTTTTTTCTCCTCCCTCTTGATGGAAGAAGCGCATCCCGTTTTATAGATGAAGGGGCCGTCTTTACAAGGGTAAGGGCTCCAGGACGCGTACTCTACTTAGTCTTGTGGCTCACGTCTACCTAGTCAGGTCCTCCACTCTGATGAGTGCGAAGGAAGATAAGTGTTTACAATGTTGTCGATGTCTCTCAGGGATGTCGTTTAGTCACGTAACACGCGCCTCGCGCAGGTATGGGCTGCAGATGATGGTTTTGACTTATGAGCCTCCCTCACCCTTGCTCCGCACGCCTTCCGGGTTCTCGTGAGTCCTCGCTGGGAGAATGCGGGTCGGGGTCCGTGTAACACCGTGGTCAAGGCCTTCCGACCGGGAGGACCTGAGGGGTCGGGAAGCGGGTGCCGCCCTCTCGGGTCCCACCGTGGTGGTGACGGAATACCCATCGCTCGTGGAGATAGCAAATCCTTTCTCCGGAGCGTGAGCGGTTGTCGATATCTTCGCTCGGGTTCCGTGTCCCAGAGTCGAGGCGGCGCCTACAACTCTACAGGCGAGGTGCACGCACCTGTAATACCTTTTGGGCTCATGGCGCCTTAAGGGTCTAAAGCATCGATCCTGTCTGCCCTCGGCAAATTTTTCTCGCCAGGCGCAGGTATGGTCGTTGGAGCCATGGTTGACCCGAACGCCTTGTCTCGGCCCCCGCACTCCATCTTTATGAGGAATAGATATCGATCGTATGCAGGCTCGCCTCTGGCCGTTGAGTGAGGCGACCCGCCTCCCGGGGGTCGGGCAAGACGGAACTCATCCTCACCCTCTAAGCGGGACCGAGCCCGCCTCAAGGCGCGGGGCGAGGCGGAGTTTATCCCTCGGCCCTCGGGCGAGACCGAGCCCGCCCTATAGGCGTCGGGCGAGACGGAGATTAGCCTTGAGCTTTTGGGGCGAGGCAGGGTTATCCTACAAAGGCGTCGGGTGAGGCTGACCCCGCCCCTCCGGGGTCGAGCGAGACGGAATTCATCCTCACTTTCTCGGGCGAGACCGAGCCCGCCTCAAGGCGCGTGGCGAGGCGGAGTTTATCCTCGGCCCTCGGGCGAGACCGAGCCCGTCCCGAAGGTGTCGGGCGAGGCGGAACCGAACTCCTGTCACTCGAACAAGGGATGACATGGAGCCCTTATGCATCTAGAAGTTTTTCACGTTCGATGGTCATCGGTTCCACCTTCCGGGGTACCCTGGTATTAGGTCCCCGACACATACGGACTTAATCTAGAAGGAAAGGAGAAGGATAAATCCTAATCCTAGTCCGTTTGCATGTGGGCTCTTACCAAACTCTTAGACCTTGACAGGACTATATATATGTGGGAGCTCTATGTTGTAAATGGTCAATATTAAGAGGAATAAAGAATAGTCTCTCTATCTCTTGTGTCTATGCGTTCTACTTTTATCTACTATGTTGATCATGAGAGACGAAGAGGAAAAGGTCCGAATCGCTGGCAACATGTTTTATAACAATGTGCATTTATTGATCATGTCGCCAAATCTATACCATGCATATGGACCGTTGGCAACTGGAGACTACTCCATCCGTTCTAAATTATAAGTCATTTTAACGTTTTAAAATATACTCTATATATCATTGTTTAAATTATGAAAATATACTCTAAATATAATACTATCCTATAAATCTTATTTAAATTACATACCTCTAATAACATCATAAAAAGTCTCAGATATATAATTCCTTATCTACTGGGCCTATCAGGTGGAATTCAGCCCATTCACATTAGCCAGTTGCTCCTTCATTTCCATTGATTTTTCACTTGACTGGGGTGGCAAACCATCCTTCAGGCAATCAGAGGCACCTTTTTAACCTTGTTCAATGTGTAGGATTGTCCCGCGAAAGCGCTAGTGAGTACTCCCTCCACCCTAATTGTCTAAAAAATAAAAATATTATTTCTTGAGGGCTGAGGAGAAAAAATTACAAATTTGACTAAATATATACAAAGAAGTACTAATATTTATAACGTAATAAATATTACTAGATTAGTTATGAAATAGATTTTTATGACGAATTTATTTGTGTTAATACTATTTTTGATAAACATGGTCAAATTTAAAATTGTTAGATTTGTCTGAGATTTGTATCTTTTTAGGATGGAGGGAGCAGTGACCAAGCTATCCTCTTGCATCTCGACTCTTTAATGTTCTGATCTTCTCAATCACTGCTGCATTGTACGGTCACGCCACTCTGCGTTTCCTTTCAATGTTCATTCATAAAGTTAATTTCGTCCGACAATGTTGTTGTTTTGCATGTCGCCATCGCGGAGACGAGATGGCAGATTTCCATACGAGCTGGAACGTGTACTGCCCGGCACACGGGCGACGCAACAGCCAACGACGACACGTCTCCACGATCCACGTCACGGCCGCGCCGCCGACTCCAGAACCGACTCATCAACGAGGCCGCCGCAAAAAAAGCCCGAGAGGCCGCGTGAACCAAACCCAGACCATTTGAGCAAGTGCGTTTGAGGACAGCAAGGGTAGTCCCAACCAGACGTCGATGGCCCTGTCCACCCTAATCAGCACCCTACTCGCCGCCGTCGTTTGGTGCGCCGCTTACCTCGCCGCCGCCATCTCCTCCGCCTTCTGATTCCCCGCTCCCCCGACCCCAACATCTCCTCCTTTAGCACACCCCACCTCCAGCTCTTTTAGGTCCTACTACACTCGCAACCTTCGCCCCGCCGCCCTCGCGCCGCCATGGGGTACGCGCAGCTCGTCATCGGCCCCGCTGGGAGCGGCAAGGTACCGGTCCCCTTCCACCCCAACTCCCGAGCGGATGCGTTGCTCGCCGGCTGGCGCTAGTCAGAGTTGGGGGCGACTCAGTTCGATTAGGGCATGATGGTGTTCCCTCGGCTATTATGTTTCAGTTCCTGCTTGTTTCGATCGGGTATACTTACTTTCGTAGTGATCTGGTAGGGTTTCGTTTCCCGTGCGAGACAATTTCCCTCTGCTCTGTTTCGGGGGCTTTTAGTTTGGATAAACCAGTCCCCTTTTGGATTAGAGGGGACAGAGGGCAATGAACTAATTTTCCCACTCAATCCCCTGCTGCCCACATGAAAAATCTGCCACATGTACCTGTAAGACCACTTGCAAAAATATGTTTTAACTTTTGCATACTTGCCACACTGGGGTTTAGGGTTTGATTAAGAAGGAGTTGATGATAGCTTGCTCTAATTGGTTACTTGTGGTGTGTTTGGAGTCAACTTATTGCTCCAGTTTGCACGACCATTGCCAGACTGGGGGCAGGACAATTCATATTGTCAATCTCGATCCAGCTGCTGAGCACTTTGACTATCCTGTAGATATGGGTAATTTTTCTGCTTATGTGTTACAATGTAAAGCTCTTGTCCACACTCCACAGTAAAGTATTGCTCTCACTTACTTTTTATTGCCTTGCATTTTGGCAGATATCAGAGAGCTGATTTCATTGGATGATGTTATGGAGGAGATTGGGCTGGGGCCAAATGGTGGTCTCATCTACTGCATGGAGTATCCTGTTATTTAAGCATTATTTTTGCTTATTTTATAGGCTGCCAAAGCTATTTAGTTGATTAGTTCTGAACTAATGGCCGTGTTGCTGGTGCATTTTTACACTTATTGCTTGTTAATGGGTTGGAGATGCAAAACCAGGCTGTTAGGAGCTGAAACTGGATTTGCGTTACCTTTTCTTTGCACTTGGTGGTTGCTCTGTGAGGCTGATATTTTGAGTTTCAACATTTATTGCATTTTTTTTAAAAGGGCACCGTTAATTTGTTTGACCATTAGACATAAGCCCTGTAGATTGTGGCCATGCAATCATTGGATATTCACTAATATGACAGAGAATGTTGCGGGACGGATTAGCTCAAGAACTAATCTAGCTAACTTATGACAACGTAATTCACGATGATATTGTTCCTTATGTTCATGGAGTTTGTTTTGCTAGGATTTATGCTTTCAATTTATGTTTCCTTAACAAAACCTCAGGCACCTAGAAGACAGCTTGGATGATTGGTTTGATGAACAGCTAGAGAACTACTTGGATGATGACTATCTTGTGTTTGATTGCCCTGGTATATTCTCAATTCATCTTTGCATGCTTTGATTGTTTCTTAATAGTTGCACGGTTTCATCTCGCTTACTATTCTTACCACTTACATTAATGTGACAAAACAGGCAATCATCAGTCTTTTTTTACTGATGTGCATTATACTTGTCCATCAATTATACACAAATACCATTTTGGGTTACCTCTGGTTTGTTTAGCAATTCTAGTGTATATGTCTTTCTAATAATAATTCTATACATGAAAAACTACATATTTATAGGGTTGACATCACATGTATCGGTTAATAATTTTCTACATCTCGCTTTTCTAGGCCAGATTGAACTCTTCACGCATGTTCCAGTTCTGCGGAGCGGAACTTTGTTGAGCACCTGAAACGAAAAAATTTCAATGTCTGCGCTGTTTACCTTCTTGATTCACACGTTTGAATCACAACAATAACAACAAAGCCTTTAAGTTCCAAACAAGTTGGGATAGGCTAGAGTTGAAACCCAACAGAAGCAATCAAGGTTCAGGCACGTGAATAACTGTTTTCCAAGCACTCCTATCTAAGGCTAAGTCTTTGAGTAAATTTCATTCTTTCAAGTCTCCTTTTATTGCCTCTACCTAAGTCAACTTCGGTCTTCCTCTGCCTCTCTTCACGTTATTATCCTGGCTTAGGATTCCACTACGCACCGGTACCTCTGAAGGTCTCCGTTGGACATGTCCAAACCATCTCAACCGGTGTTGGACAAGCTTTTCTTCAATTGGTGCCACCCCTAATCTATCACGTATATCATCGTTCTGAACTTAGACCCCTTCTTGTATGACCGTAAATCTAACGCAACATACGTATTTTCGCCACACTTATCTGTTGAACATGTCGTCTTTTCGTAGGTTAATATTCTGCATCATACAACATAGCAGGCTTAATTGCCGTCCTATAAAACTTGCCTTTTAACTTCTGTTGTATCCTTTTATCACATAGGACACCAGATGCTTTGCGCCACTTCATCCACCCTGTTTTGATTCTATGGCTAATATCTTCATCAATATCCCCGTCTCTATGTAGCATTGATCCTAAATATCGAAAGGTAGCCTTCCTGGGCACTATTTGACATTCTAAACTAATATCTTCCTGCTCTCGAGTAGTAGCGCCGAAATCATATCTCATATATTCAGTTTTAGTTCTACTGAGTCTAAAACCTTTGGACTCCAAAGTCTCTCACCATAGCTCCAGTTTCTAATTCACTCGTCCGGTTTTCAACTAGCACTACATCGTCCGCGAAAAGCATACACCAAGGGATGTCTTCTTGTATGTCCATTGTAACCTCATACATTACTAAGGCAAACAGACAAGGGATCAAAGCTGACCCTTGATGTAGTTCTATCCTAATCGGGAAGTCATTCGTGTCTTCGTCACTTGTTCGAATACTAGTCACAACATTGTTGTATATGTTCTTAATGAGCCCGACGTACTTCGTTGGGACTTTATGTTTGTCCAAAGCCCATCACATAACATTCCTTGGTATTTTATCATAAGCCTTCTCCGAGTCAATAAAAACTATGTGTAGGTTCTTCTTCTCCCTATACCGCTTCATAACTTGTCTTATTAAGAAAATAGCTTTCATGGTTGACCTTCTTGACATGAAACCAAATTGGTTCATAGAGACCCGTGTTATTGCTCTCAAGCGATGTTCGATAACTCTCCCATAGTATGACTCATCAACTTAATTCAATTAGTACAACTTTGAATATCCTCTTTATTCTTGTAGATTGGTACCAATATACTTCTTCTCCACTTGTCAGGCATCTTGTTCGATCGAAAAATATGGTTGAACAGCATGTTAGCCATACTATAGTGTGGAAGAACCGCGCGAAATAACGCACTTACGGAGGCGCTCGTCTTCCATCAGACACTAAGCACTCCGAAAGCAAGCTACAGCGGGCAGGTTCCGTCGGGCACACCCAAAGGAAGAGTCCGAAAGATCCACATTTTTCCTCAAGGATTCAATAATGAAAACGAGTTATAATACTTAATACATTTCATACAACCAGAGTTCTTAGAAATTCATTATTACATTGCCAAATGTCAAAGTGCGGAATATTAAATAACGGAATGTAAATAAACATCTATCGACAAGAAACAAGGATTCGTCTGTGTCCACCAGAAGAATCATTCACACAGTGGTACTCCTCAAGAATTACCTACAACAGGGGTAAATAAACCTTGAGTACATAATGTACTCGTAAGACTTATCCGACTAGTGGGAATAATTTTTCGACCCCAAGGGATATGCAAAGTTTTATGGTTTGCTGATTTCTTTTTGCAGAAAGCAATACTAATAGTTAGTCGTTATTTATGTTATTATTAGCAGCCATGATTAATTTATTATCTAGACATTCTATGTAAGCACATGTTCTACTTTCAAGCAAGAGTTGAGCAATCAGTTCTATTTTATCACCTTTCATCTTTCAGTTCTTACTACGGTGCTAGATCTAAAACAAGTCATACTAGATTGCCCGACGATTCACGAATCAATGCCCCCAGCTGGGTACTTCGAAAACACGCTCCGCTTGTACCCCAGGCATAAGCAGGATTAACCCATCACCCTCTTATCATGGGGTCTAGGTCCTCGTCCAAATATGTTCTCCAAGCCTCCGCTTCTAAGTCTCGGACTTAGTGCGGTGCAAGGACCTCCATCATCCCCGCCTCCAATTAGTCGGTCTAGAAAGAGTCGGAACCCACGACAAGAGAGCAACAAGTTTTCCCTGCGCCCATACCCAAGTATGTGCTCGGGATAATAAATCTGTGACTTGCCTCGAGATTTATGCAACGGCCGGTTCTTAATCGACACAGACAGGAAAAAAGTGTAACCAAGCTATGTCCTGTTGGCCGCAGGACACAACCTCTTACACCCACCAGCATCCAAATCATATCTCTGTCCAGTCACCATTTTTTCTTTCCACCACTTTATCATGAGTGATCATAATTATCACTTATTGTGAGTAACGGCAGGTTACTCACGCTACCGATACCCTGAGCATAACAGCTACTTGACCTATACTAGTAGAACTCTGCATGTAGTTTCCATAAAATGCCTGTAACGTAAATGCACATCATATATATTCAGTAATCATTTAAAAATAGGGGTTATACATTGGGAGTTGCCTTGGGTAGGCGGTGGGTCAACAAAGTCAGCACCAAAAGGCTCCGAGGCTCCCTCCTCCACGAGGATCTCCTTCTCGTACTCCTCAATGACCTCTTCGTAGTCCTGTTCGTCCGCAGGCACGAATTCTATCAACTCCGTGATCTACATGTAAGAAATGATGATGTAACACTTAGTAATGCGGCAACAGCAACTCTTAAAATAAAATACATCTATCAAGCTACTAAGCTAGTTCTATCGACTAAGGTGCTAAGTTACCTACTATTACCACTAACAAGTATAAAGCATGACATATTATCTTAGCAACTAAAGGTATTCTTACTCTTAATACTGATTTACTCTATATATGATAGAAAAAGGATACTAGCTACTCTATTTATCAACCTACTCTAGGGCTACAAAAATTACAGTGAGTACATAATAATCTAATGATCCTGCTGTAAAAATTTCATGGCTAAAGCTATCATTAATTTGCCATAAAAAATTCCTATAAATATTAAGTTAAATACTACCAAGCTCTATAAATTGAATTTATGAACCTATCATGATCACAGCTAACTGTAAACTTACTACACCAACAGATAGATAGCATTTTTGTGAACCTAACAAATTTTGTTTCACTATTTTTGGACATCTATAAGATTTACTATAAATTATTAAAGTTCAGCTCAAAACCAAATTGAATAAACATTTATTACCTTACTGGAAAATGGAAACCTAATTCTACCGCGTGGCCCAAAATGCGAGCGGCTTGGCCCAGATGGGGAGGCCCGCGCGCTGGTCATTTTGCGAAAACGCCCTTGGACTACCTAGTAATAGCGTGAGCACTAAGCATACTATTCTAACAGTCAGCTAACTTACAATCCCACCCCTCCCCCTTTTCTTCTTTACCACGGCCATACCATCGGCCTCCCGCGCGCGCACCGGCGCGGCGGAGCTGGCACCGGGCGGTTACGCCGGCCACACCAGTCCCTTCCCGCCCTATATACGGAGCCGATACCTTACTAGGCTTGAACGCGAAGCACTGGGCGAAGGAAGCGCGAGCTGGGACGCCGTAGTAAGGCCAGTCCACGACGGCGGAGCTCCTGCACTGAAACGATGACGTTCCGGTGAGCTACAACAATGTCGGAGAACTTGGGATAGCGAGTGAGCTCAAGGAACTCACCACGAACACAGACGACGCAGTGGTTTGGCCGGATACAGCCCGAGCCAAGTTGGCCGCGTGCGCGCGGACGGTGCGACGGTGCACGGCGGTGGCAAGGCTGCGTTAGGAACGACTAGGAGGTGGTAGCGATTAGGCAAAGATGCGTA